ACAACTATATTCCGCGAACGGATGTTCATACCTTAACAATTGATCACATAAAACTTACCTTGATATGTTGTCCCAAAGGGTGAGCGGGTTCATCTTGTTTTAAGTAATGAATTTTATCAATTTGATAGCTACATTCTAAATCGACCCATCTTGCTGCTTTCTGCGTAAACTTAAAATCTACCGGTTGCACGCCAAGCGTGGAAACGTCGTAGACTTGGCTGTATACTTTTGCATTTTGGGAGAATAGTGCAGAATGAGCTTTTCATGGTTGTTAATAACTACACAAATACTTCCTGGATAATTGCTTGTCGATGGTTGATAAAATCGATTTCACTTTGGCGTTCAAAGGGCTTAGCAATTCTTCGTCGCAGACCGCAAACACACCCAAAATACTTATGCCCCCTGGCAACATTTTCATTGCTTGATGAGCGTGGTCTGCAATCCATGTTTCGTCAACTTCTGCGATATTCCTCAATGCTTTCAACGGTTTGCCCGTCTTTTTATCCTCCTGGCTTTGAAAATGCGGAGTTTTGGCCAGATGAATAACGTAGTATTTGCCGTTGTTAATCTAAAAAAGGGGCATATGTTAACTTCATTCCCGAGAAGTTATTTGTCGATTTAACCTGTCCAAGAATTAATCCCACGGCGCATTTGTAATCATGTTCAAGGTCAGTTAAATATTTTAGAAAACTCTGTTCGGCTTCTGCATGTTTAACCATTTTATTTATGAAAACAAGAAAACATAACAATCTTGAATTAAAAAATAACCAAAGCGGGTATTCTGTGGTGGCCCAGTTGGAGTGAAACAAAAAAGAAGAAAGGGAATTAATCTGGGATGGAATGGTAGATATCAACAGATTTCTTATTCAAAAAGTCCATCACCAAATTGTTTTTATATAAGGAAAATATAACATAATTTTAAACATTCGTAAAAAGTACACATCATATTGATGAGGAATACTAATCTAAGTTTAGATGCACGTTGGTTCATAAGGCAAAACCATTATAACTTTTACTTTTTGTCTATTAACGATTGGCGACACTGATAAAAATATGTATTTATCATTTAAGTAACATGACTCACTTTTAAATTATTATAAACTTTTAAACTGCATCGTAAATACGCGTGAGTCGCACATAAAAATGTTTTCGAGTTCTCCAAATTATACAAAATTGAAAACCAATTTACGATTGGCAATGACGCGGCTCAAACTATTGGAGAAAAAGAAATCAGAACTTACGGAAAAAACTAGACGGGAGATTGCAGAATTTTTAACCGCAGGAAAAGTAGAGAGGGCAAGAATAAGAGTGGAATATATTATTAGAGAAGATTATTTAGTGGAAGCTCTTGAAATTGTCGAAATGTATTGCGACCTATTGGTAGCCCGGTTTGGACTCATTTCCAACATGAAGGAATTAGATGAAGGGATCGCTGAGGCTGTATCAAGTCTTATTTGGGTTGCACCCCGGTTGCAATCGGATATACAGGTGAGAGATATTCTCGCTTATGAAAAGCTATTGTGGCTGATGTAGATATTTTCTCTTGAAGGAATTAAAGATAATAGCAGACTTGCTATCAGCAAAATATGGCCCTAGTTATGCAGAAGCTTGTCGTATAGAATCCGTTGAAAGTATTAGCCCCAAATTAAAGCACAAAATGGCCATTCAGGCACCTCCGAAAATATTAGTTGAAAAATACCTTATTGAGATAGCAAAGTGTTTTAACATTCCATATGAGCCCGATCTTGAAGTTATGGCCACTGAAAAAGGTATGCACCTTTTTGCATTCTCTGACAATTTACCTTCCCAACAATGTGGAAAGCAAAAAGTTTTAAGGTGGCGTTTTTAATATAGTGTCATACAGTGTTTGTTCAACCATCGGAGATACATGATCAGTTAAACTAGGAAAGTTAAATAATTTTATGAAAAACTGAGAAGTTTAAGAAAATATAAAAAGTTGTATTTTCTATTTTTGCTCAGAAGCAGAATTTGAATTTTTTATAGTAGACTTTGTTCGCTTTCAACTGACATTCGGAAAAACAAGTTTTGAAAGTACAATTAAATTAAAAGTTTTGAGTACAAAAACATGAAAATTAACTTTCTAATTTGTTTTAATTTAACTTGTTTTTCCAAATGTTAGTTGAAAGTGATCATGGCCTACTAAATTTAAAAAAATGCTTTTGTGACCCTAATAATGATGATAAATACTTCATGTGAAAATGTTCAATATGACCATCATAATCAAATTAAGAAATCTATGGTGTATCTTGAAAACAAATGAAAAAATTCTATGTCTACATGTTCTAATGTACTAATTCCAAGATCATTTTTGAATGTTTTCAGCTTTTAATATTTTCCACAATTTCTTTATAAACAATTCACGATCGTTTTTTTGGACACATAGTGATCTAGTAAACATTTCTGGAGGATTTAAAGCTGCCAACTTAAATTGTTGTCACGGAAAGCCTCTTAGTAGATTCTAAGTGAGTGAGGGAGATGCTGAGAAGTGACAAAAATAAAAGAATATTTTTCTAATATTCTGAATATTATTCAAGGTACTGACGCTATGCTTATTGATTTGTCAGATGGTAAAAATAATTTGGGTGGCTCTGGGATGCCGCAACCACCTGGATTTGTGGGCTATCCGCAACCTCCAGCTCTGCCAACCCTAATGGATCCGCCCATTCCTTTTGCATACCCCGTGAGTAGATAAATATATCCACTCTGTAAGTAGCATTGAATTGTGTACCTTCCAGCCCCCACTAAACCCAAGCGGTAAAAACGATGGAGCTTCTGCTCCACCCGCTTCATTTTCTTACAATATCCCGCCCGGAGGCGAAAGAAAGGAATCGAATACAGATTACTTGGTAAGAAAATTAGATTTCTTGATTCTCAAATTGTTAGTAGCATTAGAGCTTTTTAGTTCTTTTTCCTTTTTGTTGTTTTTAGGACAATAACTTGCCTACTTATAGCATGGTTTTTCCCGACGTTAAGAAGGTAATTAGAGGGTACCTGCTTTCCTGTGTGGTTGTTTTTTTTAAAGCCATTTCAATTTATTGTTGGTGTTATTTGTCAGTGCTGGTGGTCTATGTTTATAATTCATTGGTAGTCCAAATAGTTTAAGGACTTGCTGCATTTTTAATCGCATGAACTAATTGGTGTTGTGGTTCTTGTAATTCTAGGACCCGTCCGGCGAAAACGCTGCGCATGATGACAATTTGGAGGTATGATACATGTAATAAGTTTCAAAATCGATCTCTTATGCATTTCTGCATGCTTGAACTAAAATGATGTTTCTTCCTTAGGATATGTACGGTGGGGAGTCGCCCCGCGAAAATAATTTAGAGGTAGGAATGGCTAAAAAGGGTTTTTTTGTCTTTGTGGGAAATATCATTTTTCTGCTGTGGTTACACTGTTGCGTAACATTTTAGAATTCCGACAGGCCCAAGCCGCAACCGAGATCCAAAATAAACAATTACAATTTCGATTTGCCAGATCTCCCTTCAGTTCCGAGTCATTCTGCTGATCCGCCCGCTTCCAATTCGCAGGATAGAGACGACGATATCGACTTCGACGATTTAACAAAGAGGTTCAATGAACTCAAGAAGAAATATTGAATTGTGATAGGTAGGGCGAGAGAAAAAATATTTTCTTATAACTCATTGATAATATATCCAGTATTGGCGACAAGGTACGGTATTAGAGTCATAGAAATTAAAAAAAAAAAAAACACTAAAACCAGAAGAAAATTGTGGAAATTATGTTCAAGTTTCTGAAATGAAACCTCGGTTTTTAAGGTTAAGTGTTGTTAAAGTGTTAATTTCATTTTAAAGCGGAAGCTTTTTTGTTTAATGCTGTTTGCTTTATCTCTGCAAGGAAAGTGATGGCGAGTGTGGAATATTTTCTTAAGTAAATGTCCATATCTCCTGAAAGGCTCAACACATCTTAATAAACTTGTCGTCGTTAAAAGAGGTTGTCCTAGGCTATCAATAATGCTACGGCGACGCGATTCATATTGCTTACCTTGCCACCAGGTGGAATATCCCGACAAATGCAAAAAAAAATATTTTATGAAAAAAGAATATGACCTACATAAAGTAAAATAGAATAGAATTTTCATGGCTATGTAAAATTCGGTAGATAGATTATACTAGATAAAAAATATATAACTAGCAAAGATATATCAAATAAAATTTACAAATCAAAAAACGAAACAGTAAAAAAACTACCACAATAAAAGCTTTACAAACATGATAAACAGGTATTTTCAATTTTTCAGATTACTACCATTGTTTTTTTTTTTAATTTTATCAGGAAGACTGTTATGTCTTGAAGTCCGGATAGTTTTTCTTACATTTGGTTAATTTAAATTTGGGAATTTTAAGATTACAATTTCTTAAGCAATAGTTATGCAGATTTGACCTTTTTTATATGGATTAATAAAAGAAACTAGTAATAAAAAAGGGATTTTGATAAAATTTCCACTTTCTATGGTCTATGGTTTTTAGGTTATTTTATTTGTGCTCAGCATTTTAGTAGTTAAATAAATCAAAGTAATTGATAATACTAAATATTTGAGAACATCTGAGCATACCAAAACATAAAAATGTCAACTATGGGGTTGCCCCCCTCCCCTTTGAAGGAATTATGAAAAAATTAATAACCATGAATATTTTATTTTGATTGTAAATATCATTTAGCGTCATAAATAATAAATTGGTGTTTTATTTGCTAAATTCAGGATAATTACATATTAATCACAACCCGCAAAGTGGAAAACGTCTTTTTTGAGCATTAAGTTCCTGTTCATACTTTAGGTTAGGACAGATATTGAGATGTGCTTTTCACTTGATTGTTGGGCCTTATTTGACTATCTATGACATAAAAAACTCATATTGTTGCATGTATTCTTTTTATTTATTTATTTTTTTGAGATTATAAGACTTCACACAAGACTTCAAATTTATTAAAATGCGTTAAGATATGGACATTTTTTTAAGAAAATATTCAAACACCCCTACCAGTTTCCTCTCAGAGATAGAGCACAAAGCATTCAACAAAAAAGATTTGAATTTTTCTCATCCTTAAAATTCAATATAACATTACGCCCGTTTTTTTTTTTCTACGAATATCTTTTTCCCTAATAGCCTATCTCGTTGCCTCTATTGGGACACCCTATATTTCTATTGACGCAGCGCGTAATTGTGTTTCAGGTTTAAATGGAAGAACAAAACCTTTAAAAAAATTGTTATATTTTATTCCACATAAACTCAAGTTAACCTATTTGTATCTATTTTATCTGCCTCCAAGTATATGAAAATCGCCCTGCCACTCTCAGGGCGACATAATTTGATGTTATTATCATATATGATTGTTTAGGTTTTTGTAATTATATTTATTTAATAAACGGAGTTTTTCCAGCTAACAATTGTTTATTATTTAGATGGGAGATATTGGAGATTTTGTATCTTGGAGTCCCTATTTCGTCCACCCCCAGAAAATGACGTTAACCCAATGTTGGGTTATCTATCAATTCGGGAGGAGGTTGGGTTACTTAGCTCACTACTGTGGGATTCTTTTATTTAATTTATTTTATCTAATTTTTTTTAATGCAAAACGTCTTTATATGGATGTGCTGCATGCATTGAAAATACTTGCTACTATATGGGCTATTTTAGGTTCCTTCAGGTTTCCCAATAGTGAGTTTTCCACACATAATGCGTACGCCAATTCTTTTTGGATTTTATCAAAGGTCACCTCCGTAGCTAGCTGTTCACTTGCCGGCTCAATAAAAATACGTATGACGAAAATGATCTTGGGATTAGTACATTAGAACATTTTTTTAAGATTAATATGATGACGCGAAGGGAAATATATTTTTTTATTTCTTTGCAAGATACACCATACATTTTTCATTTTTAAATAAAGCATAAAAAGTGCTCTTAAATTGTATATCACATGAAGCATTTATCATTATTAGGGTCACAAAAGCAAAATTTGTCTTTTTTTATTTGGTACGCCATGATCACTTTCAACAAACAAGGAAAAACAAGTTAAATTAAAACAAACAAAAAAACAAATTAAAAAGTTAATTTTTTAATAAATTAAAAGATCACATACTTTTTTTTTGGACTCAAAACTTTTAATTTAATTGTACTTTCAAAACTTGTTTTTCAGAATGTCTGTTGAAAGCGACCTTAGCCTACTATAAAAATTCAAATTTGTTTTTGTGCGTAAAATAAAATTGTGATGGTGTTTAGTTTAAATTTTGCTGTATACATTTTTTCGTAATCAAGGTAAGTTTGAGGTATAAGATTGCGCGAGTGCCTTGTTTTTGTTTAAAAGTTTTTTTAAGAAAGCTATGTAACAAAATAGCGAGTCCATGTGCCTACGAGTAAGACAACATGCATTGTTCTAACGGTATCTCACTGTTGGGAAACTTAATTTTGTTTTGCAGATGAGAAGATCAATGAAAGGAAATAAAAATTGGCAATCATTTCAAAGTCTAGGTGGAAACTGTAATTCTGGTCTCGGAAGGTGGACGTTTAAATGTATATAAAATATTCAGTGAAAAAGAAGAATCATTGTTTGAAAAATATATATGCACTGTTCATGCAAGTTTTATAGATTGGCATTGACGAATAAAATTCTAAAATTCCAGAAGTTTGGAAACCTACCCCTTAATGTTTTCGAGAAATTAATCAACCCCTTGGCCTGGCAAAGATAGAAACAATGATGAATACGCTATTGGTTATTAAACTTGCAAATAATTTATGTTTATTTAATGAGTCGACCTTAATACAAAATGTTGCAATACTTTTCTCACCACGGTTTACGAACAATTTACCCTTCAACTTTTTTACTGCGCATGTTGCCTTGATTTCTACCTTAAAGAAACATTTCGATGAACTACCAGGGTCTAATCTATCCAAAAAGTAAACTCAAAGCATACAGTTTCAAGAATTTTTGAATCTTAGGATTTTTTAAAAATTTGTTGCAGTACTTATATCCAATAATGAATGTACGATTAATCATTCCAGAATTTTCCGTTTGATTGTCTTTTTGCTGGCGGTAGTTTTGGAAAATATCTAGTAACCAGATACCACATTTCTCGTGGATAATTCTTGGGTAAAGATTATAAAGTTACCGGCGCCCATTTTAAGTGAGATACCTACGAGACAATGGATATCTTTCTGTCACATGCAGCAAATTCAAACAAACAACTTTTATATTTCTATAAACCATTATGTAGATATAAAGAATTCCCTCAATAGCGAGCTTCGAGAAATATAACAGTGTTTTCTCTACATTAGGGTTATCAGATCTATTGGAAAACTATCTAGAGCAAGGCAATGGAACCTGAGAAGGTTTGCCAAAAATTGAGTTGTCAACTGACTGCCGTTTGTCCGGTTTACGTTTAAGGAATGAACTACCACTTAAAAAAGAAAATTGTAGTGTCCAAAATAGAAGCTGGCGTCACGACATTCTGGTTATCCTCAGCACAAAATGAAATAGCTGTTTTCCTTTCTATTCATTACACGAAAAATATTGACACTATTAATAACAGTTCCCGCAATCTACGACACAAAATGCACTTGAGAAAACCAAAAGTTTTTCAAAACGAAACTTCATTCCATAAAACTAATCGAATGCACTACCTAAAACTCTCGATATAAATAAACACTTCCTGTCCATGACACGTCACGTTCACCGACAACTCACACCCGAGGTAGGAAACTTACGCGCCCAGCAACACCACCAGCTAATGGGGCATCCCGTGACTCATACTCTGCGTCATGATGGGATACGACACCATCGGCTGCGACGCGTTCGACATGGCGATCGTTTGCGAAGTGTTGATCGCGTTGATTTGGTTATTGCGATGCAGCTCAATTTGCTGCGTGGACGCGGCCAAATTCTGTTGCGCAGCTAGCAACTGCTGACCCGTGTTGGTCAGCGCCAGCTGCTGCGGCGGTACGTTGGCAACCGCCAATTGCTGCGTGGTGTTCGCGAGAGCCAATTGCTGAGCCTGTGAAGTCAGCTGCTGCGTCGTATTGGCCAGCGCGAGCTGCTGAGCCTGCGACGTTAGCTGCTGCGTGGCCAACTGCTGCGCCTGAGACGTCAACTGTTGGTTCAGCTGTTGATGGGTTTGCGGATTGTTCGCGAGGGTTAATTGTTGAGGTTGGGTGGTGAGTTGTTGAGGGGCGTTGGCCAGCGCCAATTGCTGATTCGCGATGTGCTGAGCTTGCGAGGTGAGTTGCGTAGACGTGGCGAGCGCCAGCTGTTGGGCCGGGTTGGTGGTGACTGTAACGAAATGTGTCGAGATCGCGAAGAAGTGGGATTAGTCCTGCGTTACCTAAAATTTGCTGACTCGGTGCGAGAATCTGCGCCGGAGACGCTATGCTGACCGTAGGACAGCCGGTTATCGATACGGGGTTACAGGTGGACACGGTGGCCAGAGAAACGGGAACCGTGCCCACGCTTGCCGTGACGGTTCTGATGACTTGTTGAGGTTGCGCGGCATTCGTGTTAGTCAGCGACACGGCCGGTATACTGTTGTTGTGCTTGTTGGATACCCGCAGGGTGGCGTTTTGGTCCAGGAGGAATTCGTTGGTCGCCGTTAGATCTTGTACCTAAACAGGGTGGCCCGTAATGAATGGTCATAGAGTCAGTCTAGACATCAATATAAACCAAAATTGCTTCAAAGTTTAATTATCAATTTATTCTATAATTTGACCAGTTGGGAAGAAACTAACGTAAAAATTTGATACCAAGAGGTTTTTGGGAGTGAGAAATTTGGACCTTAGTTTGTAGGTCGTTTGTAGGGCGTGCTAGTTGGAATATTATCATTGCAACTTTTTTATCCCAAACTTCTTGGAAATTAAGGATAAAAAATCTTAGTATTATTAATATTAGCAATATAAGTGTACAGTGTGTCCCAAACATACGAATCTCACTAGCTGTTGGGAGATACAGCTTAGGTTAAATTAGGAAAAAGTTGTATTCTTTGAAGCACATTTCTTTTTAAAACTTGAAAAATTTTCATGGCCTGGTGGGATATTTGGCAAAAACGGGAATCTATCAACATCGATTTTATTTTCTCTGACTTTATTTGAAGAGATATCAAAAAACTAATCTTTTTCATTGGCAGTTTTAAGGTACAACATACTACTACATACTACATGATTTTATTTTTAGATTTTAGACGTTTCGTTTTCAAGAAATCCTGATCAACTTTATTTTTCATACGGTCCAAAAAAAAAGTACACTCTGTATCTGATTCCATTTTCCGTTACAAATTCAACGATGTATCAAATTTTTACTACTAGTGATGCGATAAGTAGTAGCACTATTACAATTTATTGTGATAAGTTTTCTAGTATTTAGTATCTAGTCCTGAAACCTGAAAGGCCGTTTGAATAAACACGTTTCTCACAATCTCAATCTTCTCCAGAGCCGTTTCAAAATCGGCATTATCAATTATTATTACGATTTTTGGCTAAATATTAATTAAGTAAATTTGAAAAAATCGCATTTTATAACTTTGCCTTTTTTCATGACGAATAGAATAGATTAAAAGAAATTTTTAAACAATACTTTTAAGATCGTAGGAAAACGCTTGGCGATTTCTTCACAACATTATAAGTTCCTAAAATTCAAGAATAGTGACCCAGGGCATAAACACTTTCTTATTTAATTTATTTAAGCACACACATCGAGAGCAAAGGGTCAGTAAAAAATTAGCAAATATAATAAATTAATAAATAATAATAAATAAATTAGACAAATATTTCTCGGCCTTTTTGGCAACAGCATCAATTATAAGAATCATCAACTATTTCAAGCAGAGCAATTAGAAAAATATGAAGAGTCATATCCTGGAGGCGAACACCAATTGTTTTTATATCAAAGGCTGGACACCATGACCAGCCGAAGGAGATCCTGCCCAACAGTCTGACCTGGGTTTTGTTATACATGAGCGAAAACTGGTAGAGCAGTATATAAGGGAAGGGGTCCTTATACAAAGGCCGCCCCATGGTAATCAACATGCCTATTTAGTAGAGAAATCGACGCAAACAGCATTTGATGAACTCATAACACGAGTTGAAAAGGCGCTCTCAGACACAGAATGGGCACGTGTGGCTTTTTTAGACGCAGAAGGAGCGTTTGATAACTCTTCCTTCGATGTGTTAAGCGTTGTAGTTAGATGAATCCAGTCTATGCTCAGCCGCGGCGGAGGGGTTGACCCTGAAGAGAGGTCAAATTGGATACGTCGTGAGGGGCTGTCCTCAAAGAGGGGGGCGTTGGCCTCACTCCTCTGGTCGCTTCTGGCGGATGATCTGTATCTTGTTATCAAAGGCAAGTATCCAGGAGCCGTGACGGAGCTCATGCAGAGGAGAAAATTCTTGTCGACAAATTCTACAAAAATGGAGCTACTTCTGTTCACCAACAAAAGGAAGCAAGTCGCAATTCGTTGAGCTGTTCTGAAGGGCTTGACGTTCAAACGGGTTTCGACAGTGAAGTATCTGGGAGGGGGTGACCTTTGACTCCATGCTGTCCTATACGCTTCACAAGACGTGCGGGCATAATGGATTGAACGCTCTCATTGCAGCGCCCTGGCCATAAAGGTCAGGGACGCACCACAGAATAAGAATAGGAATAGAAAATTTTCTCTTTGCACTGACAACTATGTATACTTTTAAAAATCATTTGTCAGCGTTTGGGAGGAGAGATAAAAAGTCCTATAACATTTTATCTTGGAAGTTACGATTTGTGAGCGAAACGTGGAAAAGCGTCGTGAGGTTAGCTCCCCCCACCCCCGAAAGGGTGGGAGCGCATCTGTATGTGGATGCCTACTCACAATTCAGTACCAAAATTTGAAAACTTTATAAATTATTTCTTCCATTCGCCGATTTTACGACTAATTTGCTTAGACTGTTAATACAACCCACATTGTCGTCGTAAAACTCACGAAAATCGCGAAGCCTTACCTGTTTTTTCAGCTGAGCGATCTCCTTGTGCAGAAGATTATTCTCCTCCTCCAACATCAGCGTCCTACAACTCAGCCAAGTAAGCGAAAAAGAAAAAAATTAGGCGCGCGAGCGAGCCTTATACCTCGCGTCTACCCTGCTGAGTACCGCGGGCGGGGTGCCGGCAAAGTACCCTTTGAAAACCGGTCTGTCCGTCTCGACGTACAAATCCCGAGCGATTAGATCGATCTCGGCACCCGCGGACAAGCGTTTAGCGAATGGGATACCCAAGTCGTGGTCGAAAGTACCCGGCCTCTTGCCGAAACCGTTACGGTTCCCCGCACCGCCCACAAACTGGGACGGTTCGTTATTGTTATTGTTTGCCTGTTTGCGCTGGACGTTGTTCTGGATCAGTTCCATTATCTCCGCCTCCTCGAGCGCCTTGGTCACATGACGGAACTTGCAGTTCGCACGCCGACAAAGCCCCATCTTGAACTGATTGCAGACGGGCGGCACCCCGGGCAACTGGTTCTTGCGCGTGGCCTCCGCGAGGATCTGGTTCGACATTTCGCCGGTGCGCTTGTACTCTTCCACTTCATCGGCGGTGCAATGGATAAACCTGTATATATAGAAGGGGTGTGAAAGGCGAACTCTGACCCACCAACTCCTTTTTTTTTGTTATATAACGCTTAAAGCAACCTAGTCTAACGTTTCTATAAGAATGTTATTCAGTATGTGCTGTCAGCAAAATAGCGATTGCTTATACCACATAGCTATTAGATAAGATAGTGTAAGGTAGGTAGGGTAGCGTAAAACTTCTGTTTGTCGTCACTCTCATAAAACGACCGCTCACACCGAGGGCGCACACTATTACGAACCCTGCGAACTATATCATCGGTATACCTAAGTAATATATGAAAAGTTTGGATATCCTTGCTTTAGATCAACATCACATTATTATAGTGGACGGTTTCCCAGTGAGGGCAACGAGGTACATTATTGGGAAACAAAAAATAATTATGTAAAATTTTCTTATATTAATGATACTTAGAGTCAACACTACAAATTCAAAAAGTTTTTGTTTGCTTTATTGCTTTTTACTACACATTTCCAGAAACAAATGTTGATAACTCCAAAATGGCTTCATGGATTTTAATAAACTTGGTGTCGTTAGAAAGGGCGTTTCTTGGGCCATCAAATGATGATGATTCCTATTGAGTACCTTACCACCAGATGACGTTTTCTGACATAATTGCAAAAAAATATATTTTCTGAACAAAAAATTAAATGCAAAGATATGATTTTTTTACGTCAGGTAGTCAAACAAGAGCCAAGCGATCCAGTGATACCTGCATCTCAATATCTTTACCCTAACCAGACGCAACACTCATAAATTAATAAATAACATTATGGAAACTAAACACCGACAACGATAAAACATAACAACATTGATTGAAAGGAAAATAAAGGTTTAGTGGCTCAGGTCATTTTCTATACAGGAACTTAATCCGCGTCGTATATTTAAATCGGCTGTACTAATTTCAGCACATGAAAGGTCGACATTTCGGATATGATCCACCATATTTCCAGGAGTTTCAGGTGAGTTTAATAAAAAATATATTTTATGTTACCCCAAAGGTTAACGTTTGTAAGGTATGGAGATTTGTAAGACCAAGGAAACAAACTGCCGCTTCTTGTCCAACGGTTTGGATAAGTTTGGTTTAAAAAAGTCCAAATTCCATGAAAGAAGTGTGATGAACATTGATCGTGTTACAGCCACATACATCATCTCGTTTGTAAAAGAATGTTTTCTAATAAAATCGTCCAGCGGTTTCTTAAGAAGTTCAAATAAATTTTAATTTAACTAAAATTAAATAAATGCAAAACTTACAACACGAAAGCTCCGTAAACTACTAAAAAAACACACTATTATAATAATATCTGTCGGCATTATTTTTAACAATCTCGATAATTAGGAATAAATAATTTTTGTCAAAGGAGATGCTTTATTTCTTTTATGATTTTCTACTTACTAGTTGAAACGCCATTAACTAAGTCTTTAACAAGAATGATGAGTGCTTGAACCCAATTTTTTATTTAAAAAAGAAAGATACTCAATATTTGAAAACAGTTAAGGATACCACAATGTATTATAAAAAAAAACTAATGCAAATTAAGATAACCAACGAACTTTTATTTCAATAACCCGAAAAGTGCTTACCAAGATTCATCTTCTCTTGAGTTTTAAATTTTTGACCATCAAATAATGTAAAAAAATATTTTTTTTGTCATTACCTCATCTCAGAAAACGCCATCTGGTGACAGAGTACTCACTCGCAATCACCTCACTCATAGCATGTTTCCCTAGGAAAAATCCTTTTTAACGACTCCAAGTTTATTAAAATCCAGAGTAAAAGAGCATCTAACAAAAAAGATTTGGATTAGTAACAACTATAAAACAGTGGTAATTCTAGGTATAAATAATATAATAAAATTTTGCAGAAAATGGGTTTTAAAATTCAAAATGGCAATTACGCCCTCTGGTAGCCATGCGAACACCTCAAAAATAATTTTCAGTAAATTTTTAGGAACACCCATTTCCTCAATACCCTAGCACTTTTTCTAGTCGGACCATCTCTGAATATAGATCTCTCCCAATTTTCTCCAGTTTTCTCTATCGTGAGTTTTTCTTTTCCACTTTCGTCCTGCATATTTCTTTACTTCGTCCTCTCACCGCATTTGGGGTCTTCCGCGTGATCTTTTTGCCGAACACGCCCGCCGAATTTCCGATTTCCCTATTTCGTCTATTATCCTCAAAGCATTCGTTGGAGCTTGCTCATCTCGATATGTCTTACTGCTTGCTCAATAGCATCCAGAGCTCAGGTTTGATTTCTTACCCATTTCATTGTCTCTGCATAGATTGTTCGATTTTTCTTATTCTGTCTATGTTTTTTCTTGTAAATGTCAATTTCCACTTTTCGCTCAAGTCACTGTCCGCCCAAGTTCAAGATTTATTATGCAATGTATTTTCTTATCGGAGCATCCACATTTGCAGATCCGCTCACGTCACGCTCATTGACTGCAATTTTCAGAAACAATATTTTGAACGTATCGAGATCGGACTGCCGGATGAGTTTCGACTAGTGTGAATATATTGCGATCAGGTGCCGGCCAAATTCTGTTCCGTTTCCGCGTCTGTGGTAGTTTCATTTGTCCATGTGAATGTGTTCTTTCGTTTCGGAAAAAGCAGAGAAAGAAATAGGCCCATGTTGATCAATCTTGGAATAGGCTATATAAAGAAGGCTCCCTCCATCGTTTACAATCTACCTAACGTCATACTTTTAATAGGATCGAGCAGCCCCAAAGACACCGACAAGAATCTCTATCTCTCCATGTTGTTCAATACCCGAAGAGAACAATTTCATTTAACAGTTCATATAAAGACTAATAGTTCCGCAATCACGCCTACCCCACTTTCCTTAGCAGCGTCGTCATATTATTAAAATTTCTCGTCTGAAGAACAAATTTAATTTTCATGTATTTAGTTATATCATTATGTATAGCGGTTTTAAATGTTCAGATGCGACAAATGTGTTTTATGTTATTTTTTGATTACAGTTATGTAGGTATTATTATAAATAAAATAGTTCTGTAGTTGCCTTGTATATTTGATGGATACTAGCGATTAAATTAAATTAAACAATAACGTTATTTATTAAAATAGGTTATTTCCCTGCCTTTTGGGCGATGAAATGATTTTTTTTTCAATTCTTACAATATACGAAATGCGCATTCGAGTATTTATCACATCACTAATAGTCTAAGAGCCAGTGGGCGGCTACCTGCATGTATTTGACCAGACCTGGGTTTTTGTACATTGAGGCCCCTATACCTACTATGCATGATTTGGGGACCCACTAAGCCCAAAGCGGTGGATCCAGGTACTGCGCAGGTGAGACAGGTATTAATTTTTGGCGAATTTTAAATATATTTGACCACGGCTGCCGTTTTGAAATCTTAAAATATATTGTTATTCTTAGCGAAAAATAATAATGGCAGACCATTAGCAACCGGTTAACATTATGGCTGGCAGTTTTCAAAAAGCTCAAAAAATTAAAATTCTAAAAGTATTTGACCAGATCTGCATTAAGATATATTATTCGTTATAGTCTTAAAAACTTATATTAATAACGGCAGACGTTTTTGAGTACACTCCTGAGTAGATAACAAAAATCTTTACTACTACCCGGACAGATGTATACATACACTGCATATAGCTATCGTTTTTCTCGCTTTTCTTTCTCCTATGTATTACTATTCTACTCATTCCAGCTTATAGTATTTTCTTTTATAGCTACTATCACTTAAATAATTTAGGGTTTGTACCTGAGATGGCTCTGTTATAATCCCAACCTAACAGTTTTTGTCAGATGTTTTCAGTATGTTTCTGAATCTCGAAACACATGCCTCGTGTTTAGTGAATTTAATAAAATAGACAGTGTTGCTTTATGTTATTTTCCTTTAATTAAACTGTTATTCGTTAAATATCTCTGACATTATGTCGAGTGAAAAAGAACTAGTGAAGTGTGTTTTTTGTGCCACAGCAAAGACTGAGAAATTATTGACATTTAAAAAGAGAGAGAGAGATGGAAAAATGTCGACCAATTTTGAGGTTAAGAAAACTTTATAAATTAAAATACAACAAAATAATTCTACCGGACGAAATTTTTGATTCTGTGTATCACAGTAGTTGTTACAAAGCGTTTACGGCTTAAAAAAAATGCAACCAATCTCAACAAAGAAGCTGTATTACAACCCACTACGTCGTCGTCTGCAACTGAACAACTATCAACATTAGCTGATAGCTCAATAACTGATGATACAATAGTACTTCATAGTCTTGTAAAAGACGTAAACGTTCCTGAGACAGATGAAGTCGTAGAAAAAGATATTGGCGCTGAATTAGATCAGTCGTTGGAGGTAGGGCCCTCTGAAGATTCAGCAGAATCATCGACCCCAGCAGAGATAAAAGTGTGTTTTTTTTTTGTAATAAAAAGAAAAAACAGTATCGCTCTAAATATAAGCCATTACGTATTTCAGAAAAAGTTCAATTCAAAAACAGTATGTTATTGAACTTCAAGCCAGATACAGACATTTACAAAGAAATTTTGACAAAAATAGAAAGTCTCTTGTGAAATATTTTATCATGATGTTTGTAGGCAGAATTTCAGAAATCAAAAAAGATCACTTGTGAAAAGTTCTGTCCGTACTTCATGGCATATTTCGCGAGAAATATATGAAACCGTTTATAACGAAATCTGTAAGTTAATCGAAGAGAATGTCATAAATCGAAGACGTTGTTATTTTCTAACATATTTACATAGAGAGTATCTCGATATGTTTAAAGAATTAAGTGAAGCCTCACCTGCAACATCAATATTCTCCGCACACTATTTAGAAGAAAGGATTCGCAAGAAATTTAATGATCAAATTCAAATTGTAATATCGAACAAAAAAAAATTGTTGCTCCTAAGAGCGTTTCAACTATTGATGACTCGTTATTTGCGCACTTAAAAGACCAAGATACCTTGCAAGCAGCCGCTGCCATTTTGAGACAAG